AGGGCCTCCCAGATCCTTCCATCAGCCCTGGGTTACTTAGGACACCCAACACCGTCAGCATATCGTGCACGTAGTTGTTACACAGTGTTGCTCAGAGGAAGCCCACAAGGAGTAGGAAGCCTTCAGTACAGACAAGTTTTTTCTCCCACCGAATATTTTCAGCCAGTGGTTGGTTCAGTCTGTGGATTGGAACCCCCCCGGGCATGGAGGTCAGTGCATGTGGACGTGTGGCTGTTGGAGACCTGCAATAAGTAGGGCGACGAATGAATGGAGAGGGAACGTGAGCCTCTTGCAGCCGGTGCGCGTCACGACTGAAGTCAGGCCGTGCCAAGGCCCTTTGCCCTACTGTCCAGCCACGTCACTCGGAGCTGGTATTGGACGGATGGCTGGAACCCCGGGGGCGGCTGCCCTCAGTGTGGGCGTTGGAGCATGTGAACCCCGGGCCCTGGGTTAGCCGGGGGTCAGCGGCAGAGTGGGAGGGCGGCCTGCCTGTCCCGGGAGAGCTGAGGGCTGGATCCCGCCCCGGGCTGCTGTGCCAGGGCCGGGTCGCTGCCTGGGCATTTGGAGTGGGATGCGTTGGTTCATCCTGTACCCTCTGTCTGAGGAGGGCCTGCTGGGCCGGCTGATCTGGGAGGGTGGCCAGAGGTCCAGGCAAGTGTTGCCACCCACGGCCTCAGGGGCCGAGCAGAGGGTGTGGCCAGCGAGGCCCAGCCAGGAAGAGCTGCTGCTCTGGGGAAGGTTCTGTGGTCAGGGGCACAGAGGGTGGAGGAATCGGCCCTCAGCGCCCAGGACGGCTGCTCTGCTCTCCTTACCCCGCAGGGGTGTGGGATGTGGCTTCGGGGTGGAGTGCGTGCGCCCCACAGGGCTGGGCTCTGGGGAGTGGCCACCGGTGTCACGGGGCAGCCTATTTTAGCTGCTTCCCCGGGGCTGAGTCACGGTGCTTAGCAGCACCCCTCCCGAAGCCGCAGCTCCTGAGGCGGGTCCTCTTCCAGGTGGCCCCTCAAGGCCCCGCTCCAGGACCTGCCCAGGCTCGGCTGGAGCAAAGGCTGTCAGACCCTTCCTGCCATCTCCTCACCCCCAGGGCCTCTGTTAGTGGACAGTGAAACCAAGGACGCGAAACTGCCCTGTAGCCAGCTGCTGCTGGCCCTGAAGCCCGCTGCCGAGCCCCGACCCCAGGCTGTGGCTCCATCGAGGCCCCAGGTCTCAGGACCCTCCCGATGGATGTCCAGGATGGTTTGTCACAGGCCACGGCCTGCTATCCATGCCCTGGGAGGGGGACCTCAGTGGGCAGGAGGGATGTGGGGCAGACCCGTCCGTCTCAGTCTCTGGTGTGGGGCTGAAGGGGGTCCTGGGGCTCCGTGGCTGGCCCAGGTTGGAGGGGCATGAATGTGGCAGGCCACACGCCGTTGCCCTGTGACCCTGCCCTGTAGCCCTACCTGCAGGGCTGAGCTGGGAGGGGTGGCTGATGGGAAGGGGGGTCCCCTGGCCTGTGGCTGCAGCAGCCTGACACTTGCTCCCTCCGGGTGGCCACAGAGGTCACCAGGGGTACCCTCTGCATTGCTCACTTCAGATGGGAAACCACAGTGCTTGCCGGTCCCCCGGGCCTGGGAATTTTTGCTGTCACAGTGAAACCCTGACGCAACCCTGGAGTTCACAGCACGGACTCCCACCCCATTCTGACCCTGACACCCCCTCCTGCCCCTTCCGTTGTTTACCTCGTAAATAATATCAATATCCATCTGTTTTCTTTTGTTTTGTTTTGCTACTGGGATTGAGCCCAGGAGCACTCGACCACTGAGCTGCATCCTGGCCCTTTTTAACTTTTTTTTTTTTTTTTTTTTAATTTTGAGACAGGGTCTCCTTAAGTTGCCCAGGCGGACTTAGGATCTGCCTGCCTCAGTCTCCCCACTTTCTGGAACTATAGGCCTGGGCCACCGTGCAGTGACATTTCTCAGGAGCAGTTCTGACTCCCCCAGGGACACAGGGCTATGTCTGAAGACTGGGTTGTCAAGGCAGGGGGAATGGATGCTGTTGGCATCTGGTGGGCAGAGGCCATTATTCCTGGGAGCGTCCCAGCCTGCAGAGAACTGCCCCAAACCCAAACAAAAACTGTCCACTCCAAAGCCTGGGCAGTGTTGGAGCTAGCTCTGGGATTATGCAAGAACTTTCCCGAGGCAGCAGGCGGCTCCTCCCTTCTCTGGGTCCCCTGGCCAGCCCTGGGGGGAGCACTCAATTGGTGGCCATCACTGAGAATGGCCTGGGGTGGGCAGAGGAGCACGGGAGCTGGGGCCTCAGCCTGGTCCCCTGGCTGTCGCCTGGGGCGTAAACCCAGATGACTCACCCGGCTTCAGTGAACTGTTCTCTCCTGCATGGATGAAAGAGCTGCCCTGGGTGTCCCTTCCAGCGATTAGAGATGCCAGCATTCTGGGAGCCGGACTGGGAGCTGGCAGGTGGAAGCCCTGGTGTCAGAAGCCGAAAGGATCCGCAGGGGTCGCATTGAAGCCGCTTATATTTCCTTCTGTGTCCAGCATGACCCATGCAGACCCTACCTTCCCTTTCTCTTTTGAGCCAAAAGGTTTTCCTCAAAGTTCGGCCCGTGACTGGCCCAGGGGTTGACCTGTGGTGTGGACAAGTTGGTGAGCCATGGCCCATGGGCCAAATCCATTCTGCCACCCGGGTTTGTAAATAAATGTGGGTTTTGCTTTGGATTTTTTACCTTTGGTATAAAGGATGCAGTCTGGGAACAATCATGAAAGAGATGCCCAGGGCAAGGTATTGGGGGCCTGGCACACTCTAACGTCCCAGCGCTCCATGTCACCAACACTGCCGTTCTGGTAAATAAGATTTTGTTGGGACACCTGTGTCTGGTGGTTTGCATATTGGCTATCTCCCCCACCACACACACTGGGGATTGAACCCAGGGGCACTAGAGACCAGTTCTCACTCAGTTGCTTGGGGTCTCACCAAGTTGCTGAGGCTGGCTTTGAACTTGCGATCCTCCTGCCTCCGCCTCCTGAGCCACTCAGATTACAGACGTGAGCCACCGCACCTGGCTTATGGCTGTTTTGTCCTCTAAGATAGAATTCAGTAGCCGTGGCAAAGACTATATCAGCTACAGAGATGAAAACATTTGCTCTCTGGTCCTGAACAGAGTGTTTGCTGAGCCCTGATCAGGCTGTTCAATGTCTGTCTAGAGGTGGAGGCAGGACAGGGAGGAGCCAGAGGACAGGGAGGATGCTGGTTGGGGTTCAGGCACGTTAACTTGCTGAGTGTCTGATGGGAGGAGGGAGAGCTGGCCCATCAGAGGGTCGTCTCAAGGCTCCCGGGAGAGCCCTCTCTGGCTCTGCGGCGTGTCCCTGAGAACTCGGTGCTAGCTGGAGCGTGAGCCGTATCTAGGGCATGGTGAGGGGCACTCTGCTGGTAGGGGAGGCCATCAGACTGGGCTGCAGGGACTTAGGTGGAATGAGAGTGTGGGGGGAGGGTGTCAGAAGGCACAGAGTTCAGGGTGGGAGCCCCGGAGCTGTGCCGTGGGCTGAAGTGAAGACAGAAGGTGAGAAACTGGGGGTCCTGGGAGGGCGCGAGGGAGGTGTCTGACTTTCAAAGGACAATTGAAGACCAAATAGGTGGCACCCAGGACTAGACAGAAAGCAGGACACAGAGCCCAGAGGACAGGTCTCAGTTCAGGCAGGGGCGGGGAGGACTGGCCCTGGCTAAGGCCTTGGGGAGCCTTGCCTGAGCCTGGGGTGTTGGGGCCCAGAGGGTGAGCTGCTGCCACAGGACAGCCCTCAGTGCAGAAGCTGGAGGACTGGCCTTGAGGGAGGGGTGGGCGGTCCCTGGATCCAGGGGATCGCCTGGATGCGAGATCCGGGGGACAGTTTTGTTTTAGCCAAGTGAAGGAAGGAGGAGGGACCACCCAGGCCCTGCCCCCTGTTCTGAGCTGTGCGGAGTGAAGGGTGGGCCTGGAACCTGTGTCAGCAGGGCTGGGAGGGACACGCACTTGGAGGCCTCACCCGGCCTCCCCCACCTTGCTGTGTTAGGGCTCTGCACCTGTCTCCCCCACCCTACCCAGGGGTAATGCCTCTGAGGAGAAGAGGGCTGGTTTGGCCTTGACTCTGAACTGGAGCTTGGCCTTTGCCGTGAGCCGTGTGGGTGGCGCACAAGGCTCTCCTGGGCCCCCTCTGTTGTTTGGATTTCTAGCTATCATCACCCAAGGGTCTGCAGGTTCTACAGGGACTAGATCATTTGGGGTCTAGTCCCTGTCTCCCTCTGTCCCTAATAACTACAGAAAGTGGGAGAGGTTCTCCTAATCTTGAGCTCCCTGGATGATCCTGAGCAAAGACCGCGGGGCCCCTCGCTGGAGATGCCTGGGCAGGATTTTCATTTATAGGGTACCCAGCAAGGACTAGGAGGCCAGGGAGCTGGTTCTGTGGGTGCTGGACACCCCACCCCAATTCTGATTCAGAAAGACAGCCAGGCCACCCACGCGTATGGAGGTACCAGGCAGCGTCTCTGTCTCCTTGGGCCTGACTTAACCACTCCCTTCTCTCTGAGGACTGTGACTCAAGCTGAGGTGTCCACCAACTTCATAGGGATGGGGGTAGACAGCAGGAAGAACTTTCAGCATGTCTCCAGACTGCCTTCCTGGGAATCCCTGGGCACCTTGACGCCCTTGACCCCAGCACTGTTTGTTCTAGTAGCAGCCTGGTTTGGTGAGGGGCGGAGATGGGGAGGCATTGTCCTTTAACAGATTATTTGTTTCTCAGGTTTCAGGAAAAATGTGTCTCTGGCTTACTGAACTCTAACCAGATTTGCAAAATCGCTCCTCTGCCCTGGGAGACTGTGGATGGAGAAACGGGCAGCATTTTGAAATGGCTGGCTGGGTTGTGGAGCATCGTCTGATTTTTTTGCAGGGGAGCTGGCTTTAAGTGACAGCCCCGTGGCAGACGGGCTTTGGTGCTGGTGGCCAGCTGTGCTAACCCCTGCCTTCTGTCTGCTTTCAGCCCTATGATCTCCGCGTCCTCCCCTGCTCCACCTGCCGGACTTGGACTTCAGCCCTGACCTCCGGAGGGTGCGCCTCCTTCCCACCGGCAAGATGCCCATCCTCAAGCAACTGGTGTCCAGCTCCATGCACTCCAAGCGCCGCTCCCGCCTGGACCTCACGGCTGAGATGATCAGCGCTCCGCTGGGTGACTTCCGTCACACCATGCACGTGGGCCGGGCTGGGGACGCCTTTGGGGACACGTCCTTCCTCAACAGCAAGAAAGGTGAGCCCGACGGAGAGTCGCTGGACGAACAGGCCTCCACGTCATCTTCCAAACGCAGCCTCCTGTCCCGGAAGTTCCGGGGCAGCAAGCGGTCTCAGTCGGTGACCCGGGGGGACCGGGAGCAGAGAGACATGCTGGGCTCCCTGCGCGAGTCGGCACTCTTTGTCAAGAACGCCATGTCCCTGCCCCAGCTCAATGAGAAGGATGCCGCGGAGAAGGGCTCCAGCAAGCTGCCCAAGAGCCTGTCGTCCAGCCCCGTGAAGAAGCTGGGTGCTGGAGAGGGCAGCGGGGAGGAGGCGGGCGCGGGGGACCTGGGTCCCCGGCGGAACGGGGCAGTGGCTGCCTACCCCCCTGACCCCCTGCTCGACGAGCAGGCCTTCGGGGACCTGACGGATCTGCCCGTGGTGCCCAAGGCCAACTACGGGCTGAAGCACGCCGAGTCCATCCTGTCCTTCCACATCGACCTGGGGCCCTCCATGCTGGGCGACGTGCTCAGCATCATGGACAAAGAGGAGTGGGACCCGGAGGAGAACGGGGGTGGCTACCGTGAAGAAGGAGGCCTCAGGGGCATCGCTGAGGGTCCCCCGGTGGCCGAGGCGGCCCCTCCCCTGGTGAGGCAGGACGGCAAGGGCGGCCCAGACTTGCCCCCACTGCCCTCCCACGCTCTGGAGGACGAGGGGTGGGCGGCGGCTGCCCCCAGCCCCAGCTCGGCCCGCAGCGTGGGCAGCCACACCACGAGGGACAGCAGCTCCCTCTCCAGCTGCACGTCGGGCGTCCTGGAGGAGCGCAGCCCCGCCATCAGGGGCCCAGACAGGGCCCGGGTCACCCTCCCCAGGCAGCCCGACAAGGAGCTGTCCTTCATGGACGAGGAGGAGGAGGAGGACGAGATCCGAGTGTGAGCCTGTGGGCAGGTCGCTGCTCCTGGGAGCTCTGGGGCTGTGTTTCTCTCTGCCCCCTGCCCCCTCCCCACTATGACCTTTGACCTTACCATGCCGGGGGCAACCAAGAGCCTCCCGTGAGGCCGTAGACCCTGGACCTCGTGGATGAGGGGCACTGGCCGAGCCCTCGAGGACTGGGGGCGAAGGAGGCCCGGGGCCCACCGGAGGGGCTTGCCTGGCTTTGCAACGAGACCCCGCAGCTGCAGAGGCCCGCTGTGTTCTTGTAGCAGGAGTCATTTTTCCTCTCCGCCTCCCTTTCCTCTAGCCTCAAATGGATGCCAGATGTCAACCTGAGTTCCTGCCACGCAGGTCATCCAGAGGCAGCCTCTGCTCCAGGGCCAAGGACACTGGGCGCCCCTTTCTCTCAATGGGGCCAGGGAACCTCGTGCAGCAGGAGGAAGGGGGTGCTCACAAGTCCTTCCCCCCTCCCCTGACTCCTGCCCCGGAAGCCTGGAGCCCCTGGGAGCAGGCTGGAGCAGGACAGCCAGCTGGACACTGAGCACAGCCCCTTCCAGGGAGCTGGGGCGGGGGGGTGGTGGTGGGGGGTGCAGAAGGAGAGCCCCCCAGGATGACACTAGGAATAGGGCTGGGGCAGAGCCCTGTGGTTGTATTTGTCCTTTATTATTATTATGTTCAGATCCCACAGAGAGCAATATCAGGAACTGTCCCTAGGCTGCCACCGGAAGGAAAATGCAATCTTTTTTAGAAAACCTTTTTACTCCTTCTCCTGGAAATTCAGGGGCCAGTCAGCACACTCAATGTCTGGGGCCGGTCCTGTGGCAAAGAACCCAGCCCAACTCTAGGGATAGGGGGTAGGTGTGGCTTTTGTTCCTGCCCCCCCCCCCCCCCCCCCGCTCCGTGTAGGAAAGTTCTGGAAAATGATTGTTAAAAAAAATAATAATAACACATCATTAGGGGGGAGCTGTGTCCTAGGCAGCTGCCCACCCCCCTCCAGGGTTCTTCCTTCCTGCCTCAGGCTCCTCCCCCACTGCTGGGGCCAGGAGGTTGCCAGATTTAGCAAAAACAAAACACAAACCAGAAGGCTGAGTTGATTTGAATTTCAGGTAAACAAAGACTTGGTTTTGAGTACTAGCGTCCCCCTGTACCATCTGGAACATTCTTACACTAAACAGTTGTGTGCTGTCTTTCTGAAGCTCAGATTCTCACTCTGCCTCCCCAAGTCTTCCCCAGAAGCCTGAGTAGGAGCCCCAGCGGGGACAGCTGGTTATTTTTCTGTCCTGGGAACAGGCTGACCCACTGCCTGGTCTCTGGCCCGCAGGAGCGGGGAAGAGCGCTAACTACAACCGGGGGCCTGGGCCAGTCTGGCAGATGCACCCGCGTCCCTGGGCTGGCCGGACCCCGACTCTGAGACACTAACCTGGTGTGACCCAGCGCCCCAGGGTGCTCCTGTTTCCGTAGCTTAGCTCCCGAGATGGGTGAGATGGCAGTGGGTAGGCTGCCCACCGCAGTCCTTAAACCCCATCCAGTCAGCTCCAGACTTTAAACTGAATTTTCTTTTTCATGATATTGTTAAAGCAGCAAGAAAACATTAAAAAAAAAAAAAAAAAAAAAAAAAGCCCTCCAGCATGCCTGTGTGTTTGTCTCTGCTCTTTGGGGGGCTTACTTCAGGATGGGGGGACTGTCAGGAGTTCTGGGGCTACCTGTGCAGCTTCCCTCAGACCCTGGGGGCCGTCCCCTCCCCTGTGGCACTGCAAACACGGGAGCCCCTTGGAAGGACAGGCCTCCTGAGCCCCCTGCCTGGCAGCCCTCCGGGCTCCGGAACCCTGGTACTCCTGGTACTGTTGGCCAGTTGGGGGCCTTGGTCACTGAGCCTCTATGCACCTCCTTGTCCCACTCTTTCGAAGCTGGTGCGGACGCTGTAACAGGAGCTGTTTGTTGGAGTGAGGGGCCGTGTTCTCCTGGGTCTCCCAGGACCCTGCGCCTCCCACTTAACTCCCCTCCCCCTTCCTTCTGGAGAGCCCCACCCCCACCCCCTGGGTGGCATGCTCTCCCTTCAGTCCTGCTGCTCCGGGAGGTAGAATCTCTCCTGTCACCATTTCCCAGGTGAAGAAATGTGCTTTGACAGGCCACACGGCTGCATCTCCAATGTCACCGATTAACCAGAGTTGGAATCAACATCATTGATCCACAGCCCCTGCCCCTCACCACCCCGCCAAAGCTTCACGGCCTTGGGTGCCCACTGCCCCCAGGATGCCTCACCCCCTTGCTCTCCTCGGCCAGGGCTGCTCTGAGGAGGGAACATGGCCTGGGCAGGCCCTGCTTCTGTCCTGAAACGCAGGAACCCCCAGGACCCCAGGGTGGCTGAGTTCTGGCAGAAGCCCTGCCCTTCTCCCCGGGGCACCTCCTCCTCTCCCAGGGAAGCAGTCAGAGGCATAATTAAGTGTCGCCCAGGTCCCTCCACCCAGACAGTCTCATTAGAGCTGATGAAGGATGTGGCCAGGCGGAGTTATGAGCCAGACGGTGCGGGGTGCAGTGGCCCCCAGGGAAGGAGAGTGACAGGGAGCAGGGCTGGGGCACACAAGGACAGCCCGGCCCAGGTGACGGGGCTGCGACCTGGCTCAGACGTGGTGTTGGAGGGAGGCACTTCAGATGAGGCCCAGGAAGGTGCAGCCGAGGGCCTTGAGTGGGGCTGTCCCTCCGGACAGTGTAAATCCAGGGGAAAAGCCACCTCACCCACAGGGACTGGCCCAGGATTTTTTAAGTTGGTGAATTATAATTACACCAGTGGGAGAATCCAGGGTTCTCAAGGGTCTGGGAGAAGCCAGCCAGGCCCAGCCCAGTATCTGTATTGACCACGATGGGAAGCCACCACCAGGGACCCGCGGGGAGACCCGGAGGCTGCTCGCATAGAGCTCCACCTGTGGTTTTGCCCAGTTCCACCAGGTGGCCTCGGGGCCAGTTACTTTCCCTCTCTGAGCGGCTTCAGTTCCTCCACCTTCAGAATTAGGTGCTGTCCAGTGGTCTTCAGTTTTTTGTTTGCTTGTATCAGGGATTGAACCCAGGGGCGCTTAACCACAGAGCCACCTCCCTAGCCCTTTTTCATTTTGAGACAGGGTCTTGCTCGGTTGCAGAGGCCAACCTTGAACTTGGAATCTTCCTGCCTCATCCTGAGTTGCTGGGATGACAGGTGGGTGCTGCCGCCCCTGGCTGTTCCCGGTTTATGGGGAGCTTCTCCTGCAGTGAGGTCAGGTGTTGAACTCTGTAGACCAAGCCAGTGTTCCCTGGGTGGGTGGGCTGGGGGTCCTCCCTCTTCCCTCCCCATGCCCTTGGTCCTGAGACACACCCGAGATAGCAGACACAGAGCGTGTCTCAGCTTAAAGGTGTTCGTGGGGGCCCTCCTTCCTGGACAACTCGAAGCAGGGACCAGCAGCTAGTTCTGGGTGACAATGTAGTGATTTTAATTCAGCTCTCAGCCAACATTTCCCCAAACCTGAGGGGACCCAAAGCCGCTGGCCCACTGAGGAAGCTGCCTGCCCTGCCCAGGCCCGCCTCCTCCATCCCCACCCCCTGCTCCTATGGGGCACCTCCTGTTTGGTTCTGTGAGCGCGAGGGCGGCTGTATGTGTTCACAGTCGCGACTGCCGCGTGCAAGGTGCTGGTCTCCGCACAGGCCCCATTTAAAGCTCCTAACAACTCAGTGAGGTCCACACTCTTCCTGTCAGCCCTGATTTACAGGTGGGGGCCGCTCAAGGAGAAGGAACTGGGGCACCCCAGGGGCTAGTCAATGGAGTGACCAGGCGCAGCCCAGGCCTGGGCTCCAGTGCCCTTCCTCAGGATCACTAGTCCTCCCAGCCTGACGACCTCCCCTCTGGGACCTGGAGTGACCAGGTGGGGCCACTGCCTGGTGGGGCCGCGCAGGACAGAGGCCCAGCACTCGGGGGAGCACCCACCTCCCTCCCGGCTGCTGGCCCTGCCCTTGCCAAGTTCACTTCCGTCTCTGTCACGCAGGACCAGAGCTACCATGGAGGCTGTCCCACATGGTGTTCACCTTTGACCCTATTGTCACCCTACCCAAGCCACCCCTCCTCTCCACCAAGGCTGCGACACATTCCCAGAGGAATGCAGGATGGCAGATATCTGAGGAATTCTTCATCTCCTGCCCCTGGTTTAGAGATGGGAAGAACCTGGGCCCCAGGGCAGGGCCGTCCAAGGTGGAGATGGCTGGCATCTTTGGCTCTGGCCTGGCAGGGGAGGGCTAGCTGAGGGGATGGACCCAGGGGCCCACGGCGGGGCGGCTGGGAGATGCCAGGACTCGGGGCAAGATGGAGCTGCCGCTCTCAGGTGTTTGCCACACTCCCGGCCCCTCCTTGGCTGCCCCTGAGCCTGGACTCTTGCAGGACAGCCTTTCCACCTGTGGGCAGGCCCCCTCCCTGGCACACCCCTCACCTGAGCTGTTAACCTGAGCACAATTCACTCCTGGGCCCTGAGGCCCCATAAGAGATGCAGGAAAGAAAGTTAGGAATAAAAGTGGAAGGCTTCCCTCCCCCTTCCCCTTTGCAGTCTTCTGCAGGCCCGTGGCTTCCGGCCAACCGCCAGATGGGAGTCGGGAGAGAAGGTTTCGGAGGAGGGAGCAGCGTTCCCAGGCAGATGGATGTCAGTGGTTTGGCCTTGGACCTGTTGCCCCCACCCCGAGGCGAGGTTTGTTCTTCCAAAGGGAGACGCCCAGCAGTGGCCTCAGGAGCCCAGGGTGGCCGCCTTCCCAGCAGGAATCCAACCCCAGTGACACTTGGCTTGTTGAAAAATATCTACCAAGGCCACAGGGATTGACTGCATTTTATTTTCCTTCTGTGCCCTGTTTTGTTCCAGAAAGTTCTGGAGGCGGTCTACAGAGATAATCAACTACAATAGGACAAAAATAGATGAGAGCAAGAACAAGGCAGGAACCATCGGTGCAACCCATCAGGGGAGGGCCGCCGCAGTTCTCAGAGGCAGGCTGCACAAGGGGCTCTGAGCTTCCTGTTGGTCAAAGCAAAGAGGGAAACTAGCCGGCTTCAAGACTCACAAGGTCATGATGAACCCAGAAGCAGATCGGTGATTCCTAACACTAAGGTCTAAAAGCAATCCGTGGGGCCTTGGAAGGGCCAAGGTCACATTCCAGGCCATGGTCTCAGCAGTGGTCTCATAATACAGAGCAGCAGGCTGAATGTTTACATTGTCAACATCTTAACCATCCCCCTGGAGGTGGGGACTTCTGGAGGTCATTGAGGTCATGACTATGGAGCCCTTGTGAATAGAATTAGTATCCTTGGAAAAGAGGCGCCACGCCATGCCATGCCACGCC